GGGGGGGGGGGGGGGGGGGGGGGGGGGGGGGGGGGGGGGGGGGTGATACTGGGAAACCCGGGGATATGGTAATGTTGTCCCCGGGCATGCATGGATTTTTTTTTTTGCAACAGCGTTTCTTGTGATAGAACAAACCTACCCACCAAAGGGCGTCTTGTGGGAATGTAACATGACTGTGAAACAAGGGAAATGGCCTTGGGGTTCTTGCGGAGAATTCTTACGGTAGCGGCCGGGTCAAGGTATGCCTGTTTGAACGGGCATTACATCACATGCGCAACGTTTTTCGTCCTAATTTTTTTTTAGGAGTCTATATATGATCAGATTGGACCAACTATGCATTAATCTGGTAGGTCTGGCTCTTTTCATGTGCGCAGCGCAGCACCGCCGTACGGTCAAAAATGGGGTAAAATCCGTCCCCGATTTCAGCCGAAAAACCCGGGATGTGAGGGTTTTGTCCGCGGGCGTGGATCGATCCCAATTTTTATTTTCTAAAACGGATACATGTTGCAACAGACGTATCTACACAAAAGTCAGATCATGAAACGCTTCAAAACGCGCGAAATCAGCCACAAAGCTAAAGTGTTCGTTTATTGGGGGGGGGGGGGTTTTCCTCCATGTTTCGCTAAACAATGGAATGCACTGCATCAGCCCTAGTTCATTGACATGTGCGACTTTTTTTTTGAGAGAGAGAGGTGGCCTACGATATATCCTATCGTCCGCTACGTACAAATGCTCATAATCCTTTTCACGCCCGAGAACGAGCTGTTAGCGCGAGGGGTGGCTTAAGCGTTCGTTAATTGGCCGGTTTACTCTACAACATGTACTCCGAAGCATACATATGCAAAGATAATGCCGCGCGACCTACATTTCCACAGAAAGGAAATGCAATTTTAGAAACAAAAATTGCCCGGCACCTGAAAGCCTCACACATGTTGTACATTTTTTTTTTTTCTCCCATCATTGGACTCTGTCGTCTGCCCGTCTGGCCCCTATCCTCCACTTCTACTAGCGAGACGACCCAACCGGGGTCACATAGGAGGGGGGGGCTGGACCCCCTCCTGAGGTATATTTATCGCGAGAAGGGTACAGCAATCCCTTCCTTCGCGACTTACGAAGTCGACTATGATTTATTAACAACGATCTTTGCAGCGCGTCGCTTTCATCCTAGACCAGGATTTATTTAGCGAGAAAAAAACTCACTCTGCCGGGACTCGAACCCATGACCTGGCCCTTAGCAGGCTGCGAGGTTNATATTTATCGCGAGAAGGGTACAGCAATCCCTTCCTTCGCGACTTACGAAGTCGACTATGATTTATTAACAACGATCTTTGCAGCGCGTCGCTTTCATCCTAGACCAGGATTTATTTAGCGAGAAAAAAACTCACTCTGCCGGGACTCGAACCCATGACCTGGCCCTTAGCAGGCTGCGAGGTTACCCACGAGACCACCGGGGCGACCGGTCACATGTAAGTACATGAATATTGGACTGGAAATACTCCTAGCACAGCACCCATCCCCCTCTCACTCAGCGCCAGTTGTTAGCAACAACTTCCAAGTGCGTGTCCACTCCCCCGGGATGTCGTGTGCTCCACAGACTCTCTTCTCTCCAAATTGCACGACAATATACCAATCTCAATATACCGCACATACAATAACTAATAGACTCGACTTGTATTAGTGTACGCATTCTCTATTCCGCGGCGCAGGAGGCACACTTCTCTTGTCTCTAAGACGAGCCTCAGGGGTGTCTCTCAGGCAGAAGGTCCAGGCCGTTGCCAGAGAGATCGACTAGCGCTGCTGGCTCACGGCCTGAGGAAACCCGGGGCCTGGTATTGGCAAAATCCGAAATAACGGATGAATGCATCGAGGTGATGCGAGGATGGTCGATAGCACGGTGTGTGGCTCGTCAGTCAGCAACGCAGGTGGACAAAGGAAAGATGTGCAATTCTGGTAGAATATCCGGGATGGGACCAGCATGGGATAGACTATGTGTCCCCGGCGAGTCATGATCACCTATAGATCTAGTGGTAGTCTACGGACGTCGGCGGTGGCCACCGAATCTCAAACATGAGAGGTGAAACGTCAGCGGGGGGCACTGACTTCATACAGCGGGGGCACTGTGTGTGGTGAAAGGAAACAAGGATGAGAGACGAGGGCGAGTGATCGTTCCAAACCAAAAAGGATACACTTGGTGTTGTTCTCTTCGTCAGGCGGACGGGGTGAAAAACGTCTCCACCTCGCTTTTCGCCTTCTCCAAGAAATACTGCGGCACCACAATGCCCGAACACCATGGACTAATATAACACGGTGACCGGTAAAGCAGTAGTACCTCGCTCATTGCTCTCCGTCGCCCAAAACAACTCTAATCCCTAAGACTATCAGCGACTTGTTGATCTTGCCGTAACGCCTGACCGAACAACAGCACGCATAGCAGCTCCCCCGAAAAAATAGGTCAGCCTACATATCTCACGACAGCGGGGTTATACAGCTTGAACCCATTGGGGAGGCATACCTTCCGAACGCGCGCCTTTGGTCACCGGTCACGGCCACAGAAACCATGAACTCCCGTTCCAGCACACGAAGCAACCCCGCCAGCTCCGTCAAGTCCGCCTCCCTCAGCCCCCGGTCTTGCTCCCAACGTGCCGTGCCGACCGCCGCACCAACCAGAGGCCGGTTGTCTGACAGGTCTAGCAGCTTAGGCAGGACGCGGCCCTTCCGCCGTGTCCCCGGCTCCAAACCGCCTTCTGGCTCCGCGACGAGAGCCCGCACGACCGCCGCCAACCCGGCCGCCTCCAGCCCGCACGCCCGCAGACTGAGCCGCCTTAGAACACCGCCGGCCATGCCTAAACCAACCTCGTCTTCATCATCATTGCTTATCAGGCACGACACCGCGGCCGCGGCGGCGGCGGCGCCGACGGGGCCTGAAAGGTCGCACCCGGCGAGGTCCAGGCACCGCAACGACGCGCAAGCCGAGGCCGCCTCGCACAGGCTCTTGGCATCTCGAGGGCCGAAGACGGCGGCGGGTGGCGGCGACGGCGGTGCACCGCCGGGAGCGGCGGAGTTGCAGTCGGCGTTGTTACGGGCGGGCGGCGGCGGTGGCGGCCCTCTGACGCCCGAGAGCAAGAGGTGCGTCGTCTCGCACAGCGGGGACATGAGGGCGTCCCGGAGGAGCAGCACAAACGCCTCCATCCCCAAAGAAGACAGACAAGCAAGGGGTTCAGAAGGGTCTTCGATCCCCACACCTCCCTCAACCCCCCGCCGCTGCTGCCGCCGACGATCATCGAGCAGAAGTAGGCCCGTGGACCCGGTCAGGTTGAGGGTTTCCACACCGGGGGCGTCGGCCGGGAGAACCGTCGCCGCGAGCAGCTCGCCGAGCGTTTGCGCGGGCGGCGCCGGCCGCAGCGGTGGCGTGACGGCACCCGGCGAGTCGTTGTTGCCGCCACCCACCGGCGTCAAGGCCACCGCCGCCGCTGTAGCGGTGCCAACACCATCGCCGGTGGCGGCAGAGCGGCCAGGCAGCGCCGACGCGAACGACAGGTCCAGCTCCCGCGGGGGGGCTGACGAGAGGACCTCCAGCACGTCCACCCACGACTCCCAGGAGAAGCGGTTGTTCCCCATGCGAAGCGTGGATACTTGCGCTCGGCCGTCGCTCTCGCTCCGTTCATCGTTTCCACCATCACCGCTACTCCCGTCGGCAACGCGGCCGGCGCCGTTGGCGGCAGCGAGCTTGCCCGCAACTACTCTGGCTTCCAGGCCGGCGCGTAGCGCGGAGGCGAGGAGGTCGGAGACTTGGGGGCTATACAACCGTCCCGCGGGGCCATCTGGGATCTGGCTGCAACCTGGTATCGCGGCGAGGGGCGGAGGAAGAAGCACCCAATCTTTGCCCGGAGCGGCGGAGCAGTAGCAAAGCGTCTTTTCTTGCATAACGGTACGGCCAAAATCCTGGGAATACGGCTAGCAGTGGGATGCCGATAACAAACGTGTGGTTGATTGTTATCTAGATGTATGTGCAACGTACAAACTGTGATTGCTTCACCGGTCAGTCGTGTGCCAACATCAGTAAAAAAACGGACAAGGAGTCGTCCTATTGTAGGGAAACAATAAGTAGAATAGCCCGTACTCGTCGCACATGTACGTGCACATCATACACCCGTCGTTGGATCTCGTCACGTACTCCACACCGACGCAACCAAAAAAGATCTGTAAGACACGGCGACCGAGGTCGAAACCGACGGCCGGTACGTGGCAAAACAACACACCGTGCGGTACCACCAGAACAAAACAAATGTCAGCCTTGTGGCGAAAATTGCGGTTGGTTTCAACGGCGGTCTTGGCGTGACAGGAACGAGCAAGTGTTGGCACTACCACTCAACAGTTCCCACACAGCAGAAAACGGTAACTAGCCACGTGTTTTTAGCTCCGAGGCTATACTTACCGGACACGTCCAACACGTCAAGCGAAGGCGCCCGAGCGATCAAGTCCTGCAGCGCAGCCGTGCCCTTCCGTGCCGGCTCGATCCAGGCGTCGTCGTCGTCGTTGACCCCATCCACGGGCCCCCGTTCTCTCAATCGGGTCAGGGGGTTGTCCCGCAATACCAGCGCTTCCAAGCACACGGTCGCGGCGGCGGTCTGTTCGGAGGGCGGGGGTCTGGCGCCGCTCGACGAAAAGCCTTCCAGGTCGGCGGCGGTCAGGTGGCACGCAGACAGCTCCAACCGCAGCAAGGAAGAGAACAGGCTGCCGCCGTTGCCGTCGCGAGAAGCATTAACCCCTCTGCCGCCGCAGAGCTCCCTCAGCGCGCCGGCCCCGATCCCCGGGTTTCCGTTCAGCACCAGCGCGCCGAGACGCGGGGGCGGCGTCGGCGCGCCCTGCCCCCCCCCCGAGGTCGCTGCCGCCACCGCCGCATCCGGTCCAACACCACCACGCCCTCCCGAGAGCACGTGGAGCAGTACGCGAAGCTCCCGGTCCGTGAGGCGGCAAGCCCCAAGGTCCAACGTTTGGTGAGGTGCGGGTGGAGAGCGGCGGCGGCGGCGGTTGTTGTCGCCGTCACTGGCGGGGTCGACGGCGGCCGCCGCGGCAGTGGCGGCGGCGAGGGCCGTGTCAAGGCCGCGGTGATCGACCTTGGCGAGTCGTGTGCACGCCAGGGGATTGGGCTTCTCCTGGAGGTGGTCGCACTGGCATGGAAACCAAAAGAAACAACACGCAGCAAGTTGGTAGGCGGAGGGAGGCGAACGGCATGAGCGGCGGCGGGCGAGAGAGTAAGGATAGGGTCTTGTTGTGGGGGTAAAGGGGACGTCACCACGCCGGGCGAACGACAAAGAGCGCGCCGAAACCCTCGGGAAGCGACCCCCTCCGTAAGAACACAGAGATCCCCTCCGTAGGAACACAAACTACGTCTGGGAGGGAAGAGGGAGATTATCGAGACGGTGGCGTGTATCTTGGTTGTGGAGAAACATGCACGTTCCGCACACACAGTACGGCCGTTCTTCAGTCAGAGTACGTCTCCACAACAATTCCACCTCCTCCCTGTACCAGTATCATCCATCAGTCTCAACACCGTGTTGACCTTGTCCAGGTACTTGCTGAGCGCCGTGTCTCTTCCTCCGACCTCGTCCCCGCGGGCTGTCGCCTCCGCAGCGGCCGATACCGCCGCCGTTCCGTCTCGGGCCGCCACCGCAGCCCTCAGCCCCGCGAACGATCCGCCCCCGTCTCCAGCCGCCCATCCTTCTCCCCCCGCCGATCCACCGAAGCCGCCCACTCCCGTGGCGATCACGCCTTCGCCGACACCTCGGGGCGCTTGGGCACAGGTGGCGCCTACTGCCGCACCGAATTTTTGTTTTTGCCTGCTCGAGGAGACGGTGGTGACGGTCGAGGACGAGGCGCTGCTGTCCCTCGAGAAATTTCCGAGGACGTTACGGCCGCCGCCGCCGCCGCCTCTGGCGGCCCTCGCACGCCTGCGACGCTGCGCGAACGCGGAGGTCGGCACCGGACCCACCCGTCTGAATGGCGCCGGGCTCGACGGCGGCGCGTCCGCACCCTCGCCGGCGGCGTGTCCTTGCTGCTGTTGTTGCAGTGAGTTGGTTTGCCCCTCTGAGGCGTGCGCACGGCCCCTCCCGTCGGGCTCGCGGCCTTCGCGCTTCTCTCGCTCCGTGCGCTCAGCGCCGGCAGCAGCAGCAGCAGCAGTAGCAGCAGCAGCAGCAGCCTCTGCTTCGCCGCTTACCCCCCCGCGCGCGGCACGAACAAGACCCGCGACTCCCTCCCGAATCTGGTCGAGCTGAAGCCTGTCTTCGTCGGGGTCATCGCCGTTTGCGTCGACTTCGGTCGGGAGCCGCAGCCCGGAGGACGCCCGATCACACAACTCCTCCACCCCCAGGATGAGACTGCGGCAGTGGACCTCATCCTCCTCCCCATGATGACGACCGGCGCCGCCGGCCAGCCGCCGCCGCAGGACTTCGACCAGCCTCAGCAAGGGGGGAAGGGCTCCCGAGTGGTCTCCGATGTAAAGAAACGCCTCCGCTGAGGCTTGCAGGGTTTCCGCCGCATTTCTTCGCCGCCCCTGCCGGGAATCGCTTTCAAGAGCAGAGGACGGCACACACGACGACGCTAGGCACTCCCCCAGGAGATACAGCGAAGACGCGTAAACGCCTCCCAGACCTGACAGCCCTTCCTGCTTCCGCGCGGCCGCCTTCCAAGCGTCTAACGTCGAAGCCGCCGCCGGCGTCCCCGCCGCCGCCCCAACACTTGCGGCCGCTCCTTCTCCTTCGCCGCCGCCGCCGGCTGGCTGGAAGGTGGATCCAGCTTGAGCTCCTCCTCCAAATGCGAACAAGCCTCGGAAGATCTTGACGGCGGCCGAGAGGTGCGCCTCAGCGTCCCCGCGTTTCTCCTGCTCGAACAACGACATGCCCACGTTGTACTCCGCTCTCAGCAAGCAACCGCTCGCGGCGGCGGCCGCCGCCGCCGCCGCCGTCGCGGACTCGAACACCCCGCCGTTCGATGATTTAGCGTACCCCTCGACGCTGTCGGCCACGAGGTCGACGCACAGCTCTCGAGACTCCCGGTAGTACTCGAGGGCGGCCTCGAGGGCCTCGTCCGCCAGGAAGCGCACTCCTTGCTCGTCACAGAGGACGTACCGGCTGTACATCAGGTTCCCGAGCTCGAGCACCAGATCCTGCTCCTCGGGAGGGGAAGGGTACAGCCCGCCATGGCCCACGAGCTCGCGAGCTTCCGTCAGGCACTTCTTGGACTGTAGGGGGGAGGATACAGGGGGGGGGAGATCGTGAGCAAACTTGTTGCGGTGCCGAACCCCTTGTTGAGGGCGACGAAACGCTTAATTGAATCCGCCCGGCCCGCGCGGGGGACTCGGCTCTCAACGGGTACAAGCGAAACAATCGGGCCAACAACCATAGCATGCTCTGATAGTAGTGACGAACATGGCCTTCTGTACGGTTATAATAGTCGTCCCTGTACTAGGCTACAGAAGTGCCAGGCGATTTGGCCGGCCTTTGGTACCGGGCACCCGGCAAAATGCAGCGTACACATGAGACAACTTGAAAATTCGAGGAAAATTCCGTATGTGTCACGCTTCTTGGATGGCCTGCAACAGGGCGACAGGCCTTATATACGCGGTGTTGTGCAGGGGCCACTACACCGACCGTACTCGGGTGCAGGACCGCGGACGCCCCTAAACATCAGCAGCCTAGACCTCCTGGGTAAGGTCGCGTTGTGGAAATCTAGCTAAACCGCCTACATTAAGTGGCCCCGATTGGAGAGATGGTATGCGGCGGTGGCGTGGATGCCGGAACCATGCAGCCACGCTTCAGGGGCGCTGCCAAGAAGAAAGCGATATGTTCGCAGCTCGCCGTGGGAGGCAGGACTTCAACGAGCTCTCCGGGCATCAGGGGTTGGTACAAACGGAAGTCATTCTTCAAGAAGAAACCCCCAACATGCTGTGCCCCCGTCCTGGTGCCTGCCTCGGCCGTCCACCGATCCCCAGATGCAACCCACACACACGCACGCACCCCATCAAGAACATCCACACGCCAAACCCTCAGCGTAAAACCCGCCACAAATACACCTTCAAGAGCGGCAATACGATAACCCACCTCAGGGTACAACTCCCCACACAACCTCACCCCATCAAGAACATCAACACGGCAAACCACCCACCTCGGCGTACCCGCTGTTGCCGAGCTTCCCCAGGCAGCGGCCGGTGTTCCGCAGCGCCCGAGCGAGGTCGAGCACCGACTCCCGCTCCTCCTCCTCATCCCCCGACACGACGCAAGCGCGCGCGGCCTCCAGGTCCTGCCTGTGCCACTTGAGGGCCTCCGCGAACATCTCTCGTCCTTCGAAAGCCTCCGCCCGCTCGTGCGGTTGCATGCCCAGGAGGGCGTCTTGCCAGTCTTCTTCTTCTTCTTCCTCTTCCTCTTCTTCTTCCCCGTCCCCACGGTTCTGATCGGACATCAAACAACAAAATGGTGCGTGCATTTTGGGGTATTTCACTTCGTAACAAAAAAATCTGGGGGCAGATAGTTCATTCGCATGGTATGCATGGCGCTGCATATGGCCAATGCGACTCTCTGTGGCCGTTGTATGGTTGCAGGAGGATATTCAGGCCATTCGACTGAGGCTCATAGATCTGGAGGGCAACGAGGGATCTGTGCCTCGAGCCGCCGGCGACACGGAGAACATGTCCAGCGACGCCGCCGAACGGGAATTGACATCCATGTTTTGCGGCGAGGTCTATCACCACCTGCAAGAAGTCTAGAAAACCGGCGTTGTGTTGGCCGTTCCAGGTTTTTTCCCAGCGGAAGAACTCCTGCGCGGCCTTCTTCCTGTGTGACCCCGGCTCGGGAGTCTAAAAATTGTACCAAAAGGAGTCAAAGTCAAAGCCCGACGCCCAGAATTAACTGGATGACATGACAAAAAAAAGTGAAAAAAAAAGTGGTACAAAGGGTGTTCGATGAAATTATAACGAACACCACCGAACCAAGACGTGAGACAGGGCAGAACAAAAAAAACATGCCAAACCCGCCTTACCGCCCACGCATCATCATCTTCGTGAGCCCCGCCACCGCCAACGCACCCGTCGACCCCACCCCAAACACCATCACCACCGTCGTCGTCGTGTGCGCGTTCGGGGTCTTCCGCCGGCTGTCTGGACGCCGCCCGCCCCCTCGACACCACGCCGCCGCCATCACTCGACCTCTTCCCGCCCACGCCGCTCGCACCAGTCCCTTCCTCTCCGAGAGCGGCTCTACGGCGCGCGAGCTCCAGCGCGTTCTTCCCCACCTGCTCGTCCAAGGGCTCGTCGTCGCTATTAGCACCCGCTGCGGGGGCGCGCCCGCCAAGTTGGCCGGCGCCTCCGCCCCCGTCGCCGCTGCCCTCGCGTTCGCCACGCCGTCTCTTGGAGTCCCCGCTGGTGGTAGGACCGGCGGCGCCGTCGAAGCCTCTCTTGCGAGGCGACCCTTCTTCTTCTTCCTCATCATCTTCAAGCGCCGCCGCCGCGGCGGCTGCCGCCGCTTTCCTTGCCGCCTCGATCGCATTCCCAAGGCTCCCGGCGTGTACCGGCGGCGGAGGCGATGAAGACGCCCCGCAGACGCAATCTGCGAGGCTGTAGCCGCAGGGGGGGGGGAGGCGAAGCTCCCCCCCTCCCCCCCGGAGCCTCAGGCGGAGCTCCTGCGTCTCCTCTCCGAACTTGTTGACGCGGACGGCGCGCACGCTCCGGACGAGGTACTCCCGGATGCGCTTGATGGATTCTTGCAGGTCCTCTATCCTGAGGTTGAGAGCGTCGAACTCGCCTTCGAACTGCACACCGCCGTCGAGGAAAGCGACCACGACATAAACGACACGGAAAAAAGAGCACAGAAACGCATGGGTATGTATGTATGTGTGCATATGTATCTTTCCTAAACCCCTAAAAATAAGCGAACAGAGAAACGCAAATATTAACATCACGTTTCCAAGCACCATTATTTTGTTTTAGGGAGGACATCTATTCACCGAACTTACCTTGCTTCCGGCTTTCCTCAGCAATCTACGGAGATGGTCTTGAGACTCCCCGGTCCTCGGGCCCGCCTTCTGCCAGTGAATGCCACCGACGTTCGGGGTGCGCTCGGCCTGTGTAGCGAAGGGGAAAGACAACGAAGCACATCCTCAAACGCGCCATTCCCGCAAAAACGTACCCCGCCGAAGCGTGTTCGGCACAGGGTTGTGGCGGCAAGACCAACGTTCTACCCACGCCGCTGCCGCTGCTGATTTGGTATCAAGTGGAAAACAGGCACCCCAACACTTTGAGGTTTCCGGTGCTGCTGCGGTGTTGCAATATGCACCGGTGCTTTGGAACATGAGAGGATAAGAAGTGTCAGTACTGGGTAGTAGGACACCAGAGGCCACTCTCAAGTCTGCGGACGATTTGGGCCGAAACAGCACGCCTCCTCGACCGACTTTCGCAGCTCAATCGCTCCGCGACCGAACAGGCTGCCGGTGCCGAATATAGGTAAATCTTGGCAAGGTCTCGTCGAGAGTTTGCTTCCCCTTGCATGTGTCGGTTGGCTTTCGAACTCTCTTCTTTGCGGAGTAATTGTGCTTCGGAAGGCCTATCCAGGGTGTTCGCGATGGCTCGTATTCTTAGCAGCAGTAGAACCTGCTCTCTATTTCACCAATAAGGACAGGTGCTATTGTTCCTGACAGAAAAAATACATGTCGGCAAGACTACATAGAGCGGTTCACGAAGCAGCGGTGTTCAATGTTCTCTACCGGGTTACATATAATTATATAGCCTTCTGTCCGTGGAGCCCCGCCATGTCGCAGCATGAACAGCGGGGCGGGGATGTGTGTGTGTGTGTGTGTGTGTCTTTATTACTAGCATCGAACCGCGCAAACCGGCTGACCAATGAAAATACGTCAGTCTCAGTGCGGCTGAAAACATTGTGTGTGTGTCTCACCTGATACCTTTGCCACTCGTGCCGAATCCTGCCGTCGATGAGGCTCATGATAGCGTCTTTCACCGACATGTACTGGAAAGATTGCGTGTCGACGACACACATAACCATTAGACGTGAGCAGCACACAGGAAGAAGGCGCGGGCAACCAGGCGGAAGGTGCAGCGGTCTTGTCAGCCATCGAAACTCCATGGCCATCAGGCATACGATGCATCGGGCCACGATGCCGTTTACGACACAAGATAACACACCCCCTGGACCGATTTTCAAAGCTCCACTACTCCAAGAAGAAGAGGATGCCAACTCATTTATTTTTTTTGCCTTCGGACAATTGCAGATGTACCTCAGAAAACTTTCACTTAATGTCTCATACTCTATTGATGCGTTTTCGGAAAGATCTCATTGTTCCAACGCCGCCGTTTTCGGCACTGCCAACCTTTCTGCCGCAGAGTAATCGAGCTTTGAAAATCGGTCCAGGGGGTGTGGGATCTTGTGTCACCTGCGGAACACTAGCGGGATGCATACGAGAGATCGATGTGTTCGATGTGCGGGTACATCCCCGAAACCTATCTGGAAGGCAACGTACCACAATATTGTTGGAACACCACAGCAGTGAAACATCGATTGGGCATGCCACGTGGTGCCCAGCTGATGAAAGTCGGCGCAAGATGGGAGGGAAGTTGCAACCAAACGCCGTGCGTGAAAATCGACGACATGCTCGTCTTGGTGTCACTTGGTGTCTGGGATTTTTGCATGATTCACCACAGAACTGTCCACGATGACGGGGCGAGCGTGAGGTGTGGGATTCAACATTCTGAACGCAAGACATGAATCACAAAAGCAGCGCTATGGACTAGCCGTTCGAGATAGTACAGCAGTACCCCAATAGAATGGATGTGTTCGCGGCTCTCTGATCATGTTTCCCTTTCGGAATCAATACAAAAATTAATTTCCATCACATCGATAGATGAGTCCAGTCTACTATTTGTCCCGGATGAAGTCGCGTCAAGACTGATAGTGTGACGTACACAAATGACGTACCTTGTGTTTCGATTCTACCGATACAACCGCAACATAAACACCAAAACAGACTGAGCAGTACAAAAAAGGTTCCTAAACACGGCGGTAGGAAGCACTTCTGTTTTTTTCTTACTTGGCGGTAAGCGGTACAGAGGGGGGTGGGTCCCTGTTTAGTGCCGGTTGAATAGTGCCAACGCCCGGTATACTGCCGGTGTTTTCGGCGGGCACACACTGAATATCCAAGTCATCGTCAGTGCAAGGTGAATTTTCCGGGTACATCCCAGCACTAAACAGGGACCCCTCTGTAGACCCCAGCAGTACAGATATGTGGCGCCGGCTGTAGTTTTTGTCGAGGCCGGGGCGCTTCGTTCCTCTTGTGGGCTACAGGGCGGCTAGATAGGTTCTAGTGTAGGGGTTCTTAAAGGGGCTCACAAAGTGTGCTGAAGCTCGGTTTACCTGGTTGGATACTGGGCATAATTAGGGTCTATTTCAGCCATTGTGATGCCAACAGGTGCTAGAAATTAGGGGTGTCTTTCGTTGATTTCACCATGGTAATATTACTGCGGAGAAACCACGGTAATTACAGTTCCCATCCCAATCGCTTCCGTGCAAATTGGGCTTGCCATTACTGTGACGCCCAAACCGTTAGCGAACAAGTTGAATTGCCCCATACTCTTACTCTTACTCTTATGTTTTGCATGCCTTAGCGGTCAGACCATTGACCACGCGTCCTCGAGAGGACGGAGCATTGTTCCCACAGGACCGATCACCGATGGCCAATCGTTCCTTTCTACTTTGCCAAAGGTGGCTCAAAAATGTCTTCCCTAGTCTGTCTATCCTAACGATATCCCTTCCCGCCTTTTCAACCCACCTCCTATGCCCCAGTACAGCTACCGTCCTTTCCTCTCTATTCCATGCCTCAAACATCTCCCTGTACGTTCCATCTATTTTTCCCAGCTCAGCCACGTACGCTTCCCTCTCCTTCTTGTACAACGGACATTCTGCGACTACATGAACACGGTC